TTGAGCATCGGCAGCGTCCTTCAAATAGACCACCACTTTCTGGTCGGCCTTAGTTCGGCTCATTACAGCTTCAGCCCGGGAGTTCACAACCTCTACCTTTATCTTCAAAAGCTCAGACTCGAGCTTCGTAATCATATCTGTTCGAACCGAGCTATTATCACGAGTTAAGCGAAGCTGAACCTCAAGGGCGGAAGCTTTAGCCAAAGCACCCTTCCCCGCCGAAGCATGAGCGTCCGCCTGAGCTCTTAACTCATCATACTCGCGCTTGGCTCGGCCAACTTTGTTGCGAAGACGCTCCAGGTCCTCCGTCTTTTCTGCACCTGAAATAAACGAAACATGAGCCTCAGGAGCTAGAAGAAGGAACACACACTCCCTCAGAACAGAAACTACCTGCCCCTTCAGGTAGCTCTCATAATTCAAGCTCCGACTCGCCTCATACCGTAAGCGTGCCAACTCGACTTCCCCTTCATCGCAAAGGATCCAAAGGGATTTCTCCTCATCCAGAGCTTTCCGCAGTCTGGCCTCACGACGAAGCAACTCGGACTTAAGCTTGTCAAAAGCCTGCAAAGGAAAACTCAATAAGGAAGAGAAGGCGCAAAACTCGAAAGGCCTGTGCCAAAACACACCGCAGAGTGAAGCCGATGGGCTTCCTCAAAGGTCGAGCGCACATCTGCTAGCCTGTCCCCCTCAACTCTGAAAGAATCGACCACGGTCGGGGCACGATCGCTCGGTGCATATGATCCCGGGTTTCGAGTATCCCTCGAAGTACCTCCGATGAAAAAAGAGGACGACGGCGGAGGAGAAAATGCCTTTCCAAAGCCGGAAACCACGGGCGTGGCAGGCTCAATCAATACTTCCACTCCGGGCCCCGGGTCCAGGTTCACCTGGCTTTGAGCACCGTCGCCCTGCAAAGGTATCTCTTGCTTATTGTTATCATTCTTTAGCTCAGAAGCTAGCAACCCTTCTCCCTCTCCAAAGGGGCACGGCCTCGCCTCAGAAGGCTCTCTGATGCCTACAATAACAGGGTTAGTGCGCGGAAAGAGAAAGTGCTTTTCCAACTGAAAAAAGGGAAGGGCACAAATCGCACAACACATACCATGATGTTTTGCCTCCCATCTGCCCCTAGACAAAGCTTGCCACTTACGCTCATCGCAGGTCGAGTGGGCCGCCAACTCCCGAGCCCAATTTGGCAGATCAAGGACCTTGCCAGGCGTCCACGAAATCGCAGCAGAAAAAGGAAAGAAGGCGCATTTACAAAGCCAGCCTTCGCATAAACTAAACTGCGAAGGCACGAGTGTACAACTTACATGTATAATTCCATTCCTTAGGGAATGGCATAAACTCCACAGGGATAATATCAGCAGTCCGTACTCGGACGAATCGACTCATCCACTCCCGATATCTGTCTTCATCATCATCAACAACGAAAGGCGTGGCCGACCGGCATCGTAAGGTTAGCAGACCTCGATGGTGAAAAGGTCGGTACAGCCTGATAAGATGACTGATCGTGAATTCAAGCCATGCCTTCTCCGCAAAGAACCTCATCATCAATACTATCCGCCAAAATGACGGATGAATCTGCGCTAAGGTGACCCGGTATTTTCGACAGAAATCAAGCACGACCCTATCAGGGGGGCCTAGCATGAAGGGGTACGTGTACACGTTCAAAAGTCCCTCGGCATGGTCCATGATGCTCTCCTCCGGGGGAGGTACCTACAATGCTACCTTTTCCCCCCATCCACAGTCCTTCCTCACTAACTCAAGGTGCTCCTCTCCTATTAAAGAAACGAACTTCGAGGCATAATCTCGATAACCTCGAACGTTGGCATTCTCTTCTGGCGGGAGATTCTCTCCCGAAGCAAAGTGCCCAGAGGTGGAGCTCTTTTCTCCTTGCCAAGCAGATTCGGGCATAGCAGCCATGGCTATAGTATAACGAAGGAAGGGGAAATAAAGACTTAGGAGAAAGCTTTGAGTTAAAGGAAAATTGGCACAAGAAAGGAGAACTCTATGAAAGAGGATAAATGCTTAGAATAGCGGAATCTCCAAAAGAGCGAAGACAACCCTATATATGGGAAAAGGGGCGACCACTTACCTGCCCTAAAGGCCGACTAGAAAAATTGGCTAAAGCTTTTATCGGTTTGGAAAGATATGCCGACAGAGTCGCCTCGGTCATTTCATAGCCGTATCCTACACTCGACGTCGCCACACGACGCTTCAAGGTCGAAAACCTCGCGTCAACCAAGTCCCGAGGTGGTACCCGACCTCGAGGACCTCCATCAAAAAGAAGTAAGGCTCCAAGAAGTCATTGGCATCAGTGAAAGTCCCGAGGTGGTACCCGACCTCGAGGACCTCCATCAAAAAGAAGTTAGGCTCCAAGAAGCCATTGGCATCAGTGCAAGTCCCGAGGTGGTACCCGAGCTCGAGGACCTCCATAAAAAAGAAGTTAGGCTCCAAGAATCCCTTGGCATCAGTGCAAATCTCGAGGTGGTACCCAACCTCGAGAACCTCCATCAAAAAGAAGTTAGGCTCCAAGAAGCCATTGGCACCATTGTAGGTCCCGAGGTGGTACCCGACCTCGAGGACCTCCATCAAAAAGAAGACAGGCTCCAAGTAAACCATTAATATCACTATATGTCCCGAGATGGTATCCGATCTCGGGGACCTCCACCAAGAGGAAGATTGGCTCCAGAAAGCCATCAATATCATTACAAGCCCCGAGATGGTACCCGATCTCGAGGGCTTCTCTCAAGAAGAAAATAAGCGCTTAAACTCTACTCATATGGGTTTGGACTCGGGGTACCATCTAAACCCGGGTAAACCATCATCCGTGATCTATCTACAAAGCCTTAAGACTATCTACACTAGGTTCAAAACAAGTTTCCAGGTGGCCCGAGTTTGAGCAAACCCCCACTCGGGGACTGCTCTCGAAAGCCTAAAGGCAGTCTCTATTCAACTCGAAGTCAGGGTCCCGATGACCCAAGCTTATCAGTCCAATCCGGGCTCGGTCCAAGGAACGGCCAAGGGTTCTGCGGGGAGTCATGTTAATCAATCAAAAGTCAGAAGAAACACTCGCACTCGGGCTCGATATATGCACCAATCGGTGGGGTCATGCACTCAGATTCTTCACAAACACAGATAAAGGGAAATATAGCGTACATTAGAGACAAATTGAAGAAACATCTTTATATTCATAAACACTTGAAATGGTTCCAGGAGGTTCCCTTTTATAGGGGGTGGCAGCGTAACCGGCGGCCCCATTAATGTCTTTGAAAGACGTATCGGCAGGAGCAATCAATGCGTTTTTGAAAAATGGACTGACGACGATATTATTGTTTTGAAGAATAAAGGTCAACAGTGTAGTGAATAATTTTGGAAAAGTGGACCGACGGGACGTTTCGGTTATCACAAAGGCTTACACCATCAATATGACATCATCACGGGAAGTTCGAAGAGATGGATATCAAAGTCGTTTCTTATCGTTCCACTCTAAGAAACGCGGGGACTATCTGTATACGGTAGAAATCAATGGCCCGATTTCATGAGCATCACGGCATCTCGAGGGCTTCCAGTGTTCGACTCCGAGAATCGTCGACGGTCGATTTCGAGACAGTACAACTTCAAGACGTTATGAGTAATGACCGGGCCCAGGACAATGTGAATCACCAATCTCGGTGATTCAAGGTGGAGTTCCCAAGGCACGTGACTAGAGCTGACAAAGCCTAGTGAACTAGTCTGAAAACGAATCAAGGCATTAGGTGGCTATACCTGTCCCATATCTTTGTAATTAATGATTTTGTACTATGTTCCCTCTCATATATAAAGGGGAACCCTTGTCATTTGTGGACATCTGATGCTAAATGCAAAATACATAAGAACATTCTCTCTGCTCTCTAACATATTCTCTTGAGTTCATTGCTTCATTTATTGCTCACATTCATTGTGTTCTATTTATTGTTCTTCATTTATTGCTTATTATTGGCCATAAAGAGCCTTCACTGATCTCATTACAACTGTTAGTTGCCCATCGACTACGCTCGATAGCTCCCAGCCGAGCATCCAACTCGACCTCGAGGTCCTCGAACAAACCAGCTCGAGGCTCCGAATATTAATCATTCGGTTCGGTTATCACCTTGCTCTCAAGCTCTAATCTCGTTTCTAAGTCTTCCACATAGCATCAACTGCTTAACAACTAGCATAAAAGTAGATCACGTATTTTTAGAACCTCATATAATCAAATTTAATTGTTATTACCATTTTTACGGTAAACAATACAATTGATAAATCGAATATTTAAGTACCGAACCGATCGATGTTCTTAAATACCGAAGTACCGAACGTCCACCATTAAAAACTATGGGGGATGACACTACAAGAAAATGGCAAAATTGTGACGGACGGTTCTGTCACAATTCCGTCACAAATTTGTGTTAGTGACGGAATTGTAACAAAAACGGGGACGTCCCAAAACCTTTGGTCGTAAATTTTTTTTGACGGATCAAATTTCGGTCACAAAATTTTTGTGACAGATTTATGACAAAAATCGTCCGTCGCAATATAGAGGCCTGCATGTAGCTTGATTCCGTCACAAAATAGAGACGGATTTATGACAGATATATCCGTGACAATTATTGTGACTAAATAGTTTTCGAGACAAATTTATTTATATATTCACAGCAATTGTGACAGAATATTTTGTCACAAATAAATTGTGACAAAATTTTCTGTCACAAATTGACACATTTGGCAGCTATATTAGTGACAGATTTGGGATACATAATATTTGTGACACATAAGTTTCCATCACTATTTAAGAATTTGGTGAATGTTTTTGACCATGTAGATCTGTCACAAATTTAAATTTGGACTTTCAGCTTTAACAAATAATTAATAATACTTATGCAAAAATTAGCTAAAAGCATAAAGACAACTAACAACAACCAACCAATAACAAACATAATATGAAATATATAATAAAACATACGAAGTTAAAACATGCCAAAATATAAGTTCTACTAGCAAAAGTCTAAACATATTAAAAATTACAAAGCATCCAACAATCAAAAGCCTGCCAACGTTAAAATAGCACTTAGAGAGTATCCAAGTTGCTAAAGTCTAACAATGTTAAATACTTAAGCATTTGGTTAGTCCCTGTTAAAGGGAGTAGGAACACCAGATGGGTGAGATGATAATGCCATCTCGCTCATCCTGCGCATCCATCGCTCCTCCATAGACCGAAATCGATCATCATTCTGTTGATTCAAACGCGAGACCTCTTGGTCTACGCGTTGTTGCACCTCTGCCTCCACGCGCTCTTGAAGAATCCTCTCTTGTGTTTCTCTCATACGCAACACCTCCTCCTCAAGCACTTTGATGCGCTCTTCAGCAGCGGGATCTGGTACTACAGGCAAATGGCGTGAAGTGGCAGAATTGCAGCCTTGATACAAAGTCGCAGCTTGAGAGCCCAATCCATACACACGTCTTTTCTTCTCTCCGCCGACAACATCCAAGTATAGGCGATTTATATCGGCATTTTGAACTTCTTGTGAATCATCGGATGAGCTCGGAATAGCAGCAGCCATCGCAACTTCCATTTTATCCTACATACATTTATCAAAATAAGAAACTAATGAGAAGTAATATACAAAGATTTCCTATAATTAAGTTTTACAGCTCACTCACGTAAGCAACTAAAGAAGCAAAGTTCATTATATGTAGTTTAAAACTTGAATCACAGATGCAAAGAAGCAAATCTCTAAAACTCATAAAAATAATTGTCATTTATTAACTTGTCATAGACTCATATGATATCATTTTCAAGATTAGAATAAAAAAACTAGACCAGAATAGAATGCTATCACAAGCTTTCAACTGATATTCTTCTTAAGTAAAAATAAACTTATACTTAGTGACTCATAATCTGATTCTTTGAAGCACAATAAGAAATAGAATAAGTCACAATATGTGTTTCATTTCTACATCAGAACAAGAAATAAAATGCTAATTAAACAAGAAATGAGATGATGTGAAGAAGCTTTCAGATAAGTGGATTGCACCAGTAATATTCCTCATATTCATTCTCAAATAAAATGATGAAATATTATAAAAGAAACTTACACCAACAGTCTTAGACTTGGTATCCACAAAGTTCCCATCCTTTCTTTTATGCAGCTTCTTAAATATATCCCATGAATTTGCTGGACGATGTAATTATATTGCCTGAATAATAGAGTACAATATTAAAATAGGAGATAAGGTCATATAATTACTCTATTGAAAGGTTAAATTCAATACCAATTTTATAGTATGCTCCACTGTAGACCTAGAACCACCGGTATGCTTGCTTGGACCAGTGCCTGGACCACCAGTCTCGCTACACCAATTTTGAGTGGCGACACGAGATTTTTCAAGCCACTTTTCCGATGACCAGTGTGCCTGCCAGCTTTCCCATATATGCTCTTTAATAAAAGTAGGTCTGGTTGTAAATTTCTACCACTTGTGCCGCTTTTTAGTGTACAAGGTAGATGCCACTTTTTTCCAAGTATGTTTGATTATGGCATCCTCAGCAGAACTCCAATGATATAATTTCTAACAAAAGATATTTGATCAGTGACATAAATACATATATATACTAAATAATTACTTATAATTTTTTTTTATAGAAAGCGATATTTACCATAAATTCATGCCAATAGAAGTCACGAGTGTATTGGCAGACAACCTTCCATGTGTAACCAGTAGCATCTTGTCGCTCCATGAAGGTATCAGTGATGGTCTTCGAGATAGAATGACCATTAGGAACGAACCCGAACCTGAACCGGTGTTACAAGGACATCTTAGCTTTTCAAAATCCATGCATTCTGGATGTCTTTTAGCAAATGCAACAAACTCCTCAACCCCAATAATAAATCTAGGATTTATGAATCCATCTTCCAATACTCTAGCATACATCCACTCACGATCAGAATTATTCATATTGTACACTTTAACACAAAGAATAAACATGTGTTAGAACTTACATGATGACAAACAAGATTATTTGTTGTAATTAAAGTTGTCTATTATCTAGCTATTTTTTAAAAAGTAAATTTAATCTATTAGAACATATTTGTACTAAAGCAGACATGTCAAGCTTGCATTCTGCTATAGAATCCAACAGAAAATGGCACTAATTTAACAAGATTCAATGATAACTAGAAAAGTCACAAGTTTCCTACCTAACTGTATCAACATCAATTAAAGTCCCAAGGAAAAAACATATGTAATGCCAAATATTGAAATAGAAATTATCATTCACTAGATAAATCAGAAAAATATCTAGAACTGCGTACTTCTTGGAACTGTTAATTTCTTTTTTAATCTTTCTGCTAGGGAGGTGCTTGACTCCTTGCCTATATGTTGAAGAAACTGATCCAAAAAAGAGAATGAAACAGAAAAATATAAATGACCATAGTTTAAGACATTTAGACAAGATAAATAAGATAATTAATATTGTTGAAGAGTTTACTTTATGAGATTCCAGCAATAAAATAATATAAATCAATTTAGAGTCAGGAAGCAACATATATAGCAGGTATATAACCAAAAACAACCAAAAAGAAGGTATAATAACACAAGTTATAGCAAATTGAAAATCACCACCACTCCTAAAGAATTTTTGAAACACTCAAATGCACTCAATATGAGGCTTATCCTACGCACCCGGCCCCTTTCGACAACTAAGAGTAATTTTGAGTTCCTAACCATTGCGACAGTAACTCTACCATGAATGTTATATCCTATGAGGAGGTTGATGAATTGTCTATGAATTACAATGATGAATTAGCTCAAATAGGGGTGAGTCTTGTTTTAACAACAAGGATCATATTCATCTTAGTAACCAGAAAATTATTACCTAAAAAATATCAGAAATTTATTAAGCATATAGAAAAACTTTTCAAAAGCTGGAAAACAAAAGCCTGCACATTCTTCATTTTTTTACTTTTTTCCAAGACAACAAAGTTGATATCTACAATAAGCACAATTGTTTCCTTTAGCAAAATTAGAGCTTTTCCCTTTGCTCAAAATTATGACCAAATCATAAACAAGAAACTAAAATCTCACCTATCTCAGAAGTATTTCAAACCACTTCAAGTGAATGACCCAATATCAAAGCTTAATAAAGACCCTTTAAAATTTGTACCTAAAATAGTTGCATGCAAAAGCTTTTTAGCTAAATCGGAGTTTTCTGAGCTTAGATAGAAGAACCCAACAGCAATACCCAAATGTTATTCACTTTGAAAAATAATATTCAAGAAAAACATAGACAAATCTGAACAAAAATTGAAAGATCCAAAAGCTATTGAGTGTGGATGAAGAGACTGGAGCAAAACCAAACCTGCAAGTGTTGCTGTGGCGTTGAGTCTAGAAGGGTACAAGAATCGCCATTTGTGTTTTGTGTTGAAAGAGAGAGAGAAGCAGGGAGGAGTGGAATGAGAAAATGGGTGTAAATCTTAAGAGTTTTGTGGAATGAGAGGTTTGGCGGAGGGAAACTAAAAAGTGGGCAAAATATTTGGAGGGGGAAACTAAAAAGTGGGCCAAATATTTTGGAAAAAATTTGTAAGTTGTCCAAATGTTTCTAAAATTGTGACTGAATGTTCCGTCAAAAATTATTGTCATGGAAAATAAATCTGTCACAAAATTATTTTTATTAGATAATTGCTCATTTATAATATTGTGACAGAAAATATAATCTGTCACAAAATTTGTAACGGATTTTTGACAAAGTATTGCTATTTCTTCTCTTCTGCCATAATTTTGTGACAAAAATATGTTCGTCACAAAGACTAAATTTCATATCTGTCACAAATTTGTCACAAATCCGTTACTCTTAGAATTTTTTTAGGAAAAAATAAAATCTTTTGATAATTTCGTCCAAGTAAGGTTGATTTGTCATAAATGCGTCACAAATCTATCACAATTTGTGACAGAATGCTTCGTCTCAAATATTCCGTCACAATTTTACAATTTTCTTGTAGTGTGAGACTATAATTTCCCAAATTTTTTTCGTTAAAATGCCAAACCCGTCCAATAACTGAAGTTGGGCTGTTTCTTGCCAATAGGTGGATTGGTTTGTTTTTGCATGCCAATTTTCCTTTATGCTAAACTCATAGTAATTTGTCAGAACTTCTAGCGAGCGCATCCATCAGAAACTCTTGGCAAATTCATAACGACTTTTTGGTACTGAACTCCTGGTGATCCATCATGGGTTGCGACAAGCTCATCCACATGAATTTCCTAGTCATCCGCTAGGATATTTTTATACTAAACTCCTGGTGATCTGCCTTGAGCTATGGCAAGTCAAGTCTTCTGGCGATCCGCCAGGAATTGAGGTTCAATTCCTGGTTGGAAGTTATTTTCATGCAATTTTTTTAAGGCGGGGTCAAAAGTTAAACATCAACATCGAAATAGCCTACTTGTGAAAATATCGGGAGAAATTTAAAAATAGCCAAATTTACAAGTGGTCGGTTAAAAGTAGCCCAGTTTCAAAAGTAATCGAAATTTAGCCACTTTTCATGTAAAGATAAATCTGAGCAAAAACACTGTTCAAAACCCGGAAAATACGCCAGTATATTATGCTGGAGTTCCAGTATAAGTATAATTGAACTCCAGCATATTATACTGGAGTTCCAGGATAAGTATGCTGGAACTCCAGCATAATATGATGGAATTCCAGCATAAGTACACTAGAACTCCAGCATAATATACTGGAGTCCTAGAAAAGTATGTCGGTCAAGTATAATATGCTGGAAGTTCATACACAAGTGCTCGAATCTCCAGTATATTGTGCTGGAACTTTCCGTGTGTTAAAGTTCCAGCATAATATGCTGGAAGTTCATACACATGTGCACCGAACTCCAGTATATTATGCTGGACCGGTCTCTGTTGCAGCAAAATAGTGGCTATTTTTTATTGACTTGATAAACGCTGGCTATTTTTGAATGACCAGTCCGAAAACTGGCTAGACCGTGCTATATTGATGTGATGTCCACCAACTATATTTGTTTAACCCCTATTAAAAGACCAAATATTAAGTTAATGTTAAGTCAACATAGTGGATAATTTCCAGCAACGTAAATGTAATGACGAGGGTTAACATAAACAAGACATTTGATATAAAAGAGTAAAAAACAAGGAAAAATTATATTGTGTTAATTTTGTAGGTAGGCAGGTCATTATGCAATACCATGTCTAATCTGAATTCATGTTATAGAATATTATATGGAGGCGGCTTGAGGATTTAAGATTTGTAGGTCCAACTTTTAAGGTTTTTAGTATTGAACCTATTATATTTTTAAAGTTGCGTATTCATATCTATTGCAATTTTAATAATTTTTTACACATAAATTTATGTACGCATTAAAATTATTGGGGTCAACTGAAGCCGATATTGGATCCTGATATCATAGATAACTTTTAGTCCAGCAAATTAAAAGACAACTCCCAATGAGTAGAGCAAATTCACAGTTGAATAACTAGCATTACAGTCCATTAGAATTACAGTAACAAACGGTCAATAGCCTCGGTGATTTGTCCCACTTAGCTTATTTCTCAGCCTTTTGCTATCTATCCCACTTATTTCTCTTTATATTCGTTGAAAGAAACATTCGAAACTGACAGCTTGTTTGGATGGTTGTTATGTATCGATTCATAAAGTATCGTATAATATAGTATTGTATTGTACTGTATCATTTTGATGTATATAATATTTGGATAGATTGTATTGTTTAATTTGTTGTTGTTTCATGATATCATGCACCAACAATATGAAGAATAAACTTGCAATATTATAAAGAAAAAGTAAGGTACAAGGTAAAATTATTATATAAAAAGGCAGGGTAAAAGATAAAAATACGATTATTTAATAGTAAGGAAGGGAAAGATGAGAGGAAAAAAAATAAGATAACGTTGCATCCCACCAAATCGGTTATTCCATAAAGTGGTGTTTTTAGTCATTAGGTAACAACGAATTTAATGATACGATTAGGAGCGGAGCTAAACCTTTGGATGCGGGTTCGACCGAACCTAGTGACTTTGTTCAAAACTCTATATTTGTGTTTAAGAATTATTAATTTAGAACCAGTAACTTAGAAGCAATGGAATCCCAAACCCATTAGCTTCGAATCCTGGCTCCGCCTCCGATACAATAAAATTTTAAGTAACAATCAAAACAAACATTATATTAATGTGACAATTCGATACAATACAACAGGTAACAACCATCCAAACAAGCTGTGAATAACAAGCAGCAACATAATTTTCAGGCCAAAAGCCAAGGTGTTGGATGACTACGTTCTAGAATCTTCATGAACCAAAAAGGAAAAAGCTTAGTGAAATTACTAATGGATAAAGAAGAAGCAAGAATTACAGAAGAAGATTATACTGAAATGATTCAAAATGTGTAAGAATCAATACCTCCATTCTTTGAAGTAGCTAGCACACTGCTAATTATCTAACTCTCGTTAAAAGCTCTCTGATTTCTCTTCCTGGTAATGTGTATATACTTAGTACCAACGATAAACCTCCCCCTATATGCGCAAACACTACACCATTACAATAATAATAGCCAGTTGTTGCTAACAAAACATCTGTCCTAGAGTATGCAAAAAGGAACACGAGGCAAGATGATAGTCGAGATTTCATTCTCTCGCAGATTTATATATGAGGCCACTGAAACATCATCTGGGGTAGAATGAACTGTGAGAGATGTTGGCAATTGAAGCCGAATCACCTTCTCTATGGGGATAAGATGGGGTATCCCAAGGGTCGTGAAGCTCCATGGTTTTCTCATCTATAAACGGAGGATTAGTCGGTGCAGGTAACTCTTCTTCTTTCTTTACCAGCATCTGCAATGCCTTGGACATAGATGGTCTTAATCCCGGAACCTCTTGTGTGCACAATAGCCCG